TACGAACGATTTTTTTTGGTCCGCTCATTGCATTTTTCGGCGTTTTTGTGGGTTTTTAGCGGACCTATAAATTATAGTTGCGATGAAAAAATGGTTTAATAAGAAATTGGGTATTATTATTGGGAATATCCTGCAGATAAACAGAGATTTCCGGTAGAAAAATATTGATTCTTAAGAATTCTATATTATTTCTACGAAAAGTTATTTTTTCCACATATAAAAACACATGGAAATCTTTGAGCGTTTTGAGCGAACTCTAAATATTTTTTGATTTCAAAATAAAATATAGGGACATATATAGAACAATCCTAGGGGGTAAGAGCAAAAAATTCTGACTTTACTTTTTCACATGCATTTTTGGACCACCCTAATTTACATACATATCTAGCATATAAGCTCTTATGCATCGAGTGCAAAATAGTTTAGTGCAAAACGAATTAAAATTTTATGTTCCTAAATATTTCTTGCTTAGCACCATATAAGAAATATGATGATGACATGATATATTTATGTAGGTACATACATATATTTTTACACCATACATGTGTATGTAATGTTGCATAACAAGCCAATTAATTCAATTATTTGTTTTCTTTTGTTTTGTTAACTCCGTTCAATTAACTGATTTTATGAATTAGTACATTTATTTGTAATTTTTTATGGAATCGGCATCGGACGATTCTTTCCCTATAAGCCGATTAATCGGCATCGGCATCGGTACCTGAAAAAAAAATTGGACCCGGTCGGACTCTATTATTACTAGCTGCAATATCACAAGGTCTCCGTGTATTATTAAAATATCTTCGTTAGCCAAATAAAGAAAAAGAAACTAATCAAATGCACTGAGAAGATAACTACGAATACCGGAAGGCATTTGGTTCGTTTGGAAAAGCCAGCAACAAAATCCAGAGAATAAGGTATCTTAGGGCAGTTTTCTCGACTGCGTGGTAAAAATTTACGGCCAGTCGCTTTATCGACTTCTTATCGATTGCCTGTTATAAGCATGTGAGCGAGAAATTTGACAGGCAGTCAAAGCACCAAAGCCAAGTACCTTTCAACTTATTGGAATTATTTAAATTAATTAAGTAAACAAATATTTGCATACTTCTTTCATTAATAAATCGCAACAATATTGTGCATTTTTAAATAAAATAAATTTAATTTTAGTATAATAAAGTGCAAGATTGAAGTTGCTAAAAATTGCGTTGAGTTTTGGCAATTTTTTTCCTTGGCAGTGTAAAGCAGTTCCTTCCATATCAAAATATTTTTCGAACATATTTTAAGAAATTTCTGCAGCCTTGTGGAGTGCTGCCAGCTTTTCTTTTTATCACATCACGACAGAAACAGCTATATGGGATTTGCCGATTTTGACAAATCTCAAGTAAAAGTAAACAACGCCTCAGAAACTTTAGATGCACTTAAATTTGCTAACACTTTCACAAAAAACCCCTTTTTTAACATTTTCGCTATTTATTCTTTTTATAAATCATATATTTTCCAATTTAACACAATAAAACCACGTTTTCTGTCGAAAAATTTATTACTGAGAAAATTTACTATTTTACAGTTTATTTTATCCTCCTATTTGGCTTTGTTTACTCTTACTTAAGAAATTTCATCGTCGCCGGCAATGCGGAATCTTGTATTATATCATTCTTGTTACCATATAGTATTTAGTGTTGGACAATTTTTGCTCCTAAAATTAAGAAAATTATGTCGAGCAAAAATAAAACTTCGCAAAAACGGGAATATGTGGTAGATTTCAGACCTTGAGTGGTAGATGTGGTAGATGCTCAAAAAGTGGCAGATATACCACAATGTGGTAGAAGTCCGATCACTGATTAGCATTATTAACATTATCAGCCGAAATATTAACATCATCAGCATATGAATGGTGTTGTATTTGTATGCAAAGTATTGTTAACATCCTCCAGTACTGCTGGAGTCAATCGCTACTTTTGAACCGCTACTGCACCGACTCCTAGGTAAGTAGCTACTCTATCAACCCGCGGTGGTGCACATGGTAGTGCAGAGTCGAACCAGTCGGAAGCAGAATAGCGAAAAACTACGACAGAGGGCGCGCATAAATCACGCAAGTGACTAATTTAGTAACTCCCGGTAGTGCAGAGAGAGCCGATGGTGACTACCGCCTAGGGCATTGCCTTGTAAAAGTAATCGATGAAATACACTGCAAGTAGTCGGTCGGTAATTGACGGAGTTTATCAGGTAGCCACCGATTCATCAGTCCTGTGGTCGCTCCCCCGTACTGCAGGTAATTCTTATCACTCTCTAACGACAATGGTGCAGTGCTGCCACTTTACCACAACTGTGGTAGATCTACCACATTTTGGGTAATTTTTCACTTCTACAACTACCGCGTATTTAAAAAATCTACCACAATTTTACTGAAATACAATTAATAACCTAATTCCCCGAAATCATATCGTGTTAGTTCAAGAGCTGAAGGTGCTGGCAAGCATTTCAAAATTTCTACATGAAGGATATATGATGGTTTTCACTAAGTCAAATTCAGTGGCATTTGTCGACAAATAAGTGAAAACACGTTTTAAAATGGAAGTAAAAAACGGTTTATCGATTGACTTAGACCAGAATAGGTTTTTAGTCGTATACATGTGCTGTTAAATTGGCTATCTCTCTGCTGTTGGTCCATAATCTACTCGGGAAAGGTATGGGAAAAGGAGATAAAGTTGTGTCAAAATATGTTGCCAAAATTTGTTGACATATAATAATGTTGTATGACATAGTGTAAACCAGTCTAAAGCTGCATTTACACGAGTCGATTTTCGTGGTAATACATTTCCACAGAAAACAAAAGATGAACGAATGCCATGAATTTTCAATGCGTTTAAATTGTGATATGTTTACGGTGATTTCGTTTCTACCAAAAAATGTTGCCCTTTCACAGTGCAAACTGTGTTTGATGTTACACTAAACCCTGTAAAAGGGTATGTCTTTGCCTTATTTTCCTTGTCCAGCCCACGCATTCCATAATATTATCGTTTTAACCAACCACCTGATTTTCGGGGTACCCATCTCCCATGACAAAGCTTCAAGGGGCAGATAATGTGCGTTTTCTGCTGTATAAAAGTGTGACATTTGAATGAACGGACACAAAATTTTCTCACCGTTTGCCTTTATTTTAGTATCCAACGCGAAAAGAGAAATGGGCAATGAAAAGGCGAAGATGCTCAAAGAACATTTGTGCATTAAATTTAAAAAAAAAATCGCTTACGTTATTTTCGCAGTTAGGGCTAGGATATGTATGCGGCTTAAAGAAAACATGAGACCGTAAAACGTTTGCTTGCTTGTTTAATTCCCTGAACCGTCCCTGTTTTGATATGGCGCTTCATTCTTTCATTTCAAATTGAAAACACATTGCGATCATATTGTACTAGCAATATAGAAGTATTACATATATGGTTACTACAAAGTAATTCGGCGAATAAAAAGTTTACAAATATTCTACCACACTTTTTAAGAGATCTACCACTGTTTTTATTAATAATCTACCACTAACTTGGTTTCTGGAGTGACAACACTGCACTGGTGTTGTTTTATCAACAACGATTTCACGGTTAGTGTCAATGACTTTAGACCCTGCTCGCGTTAGAACTTTGGTCGAGAAATCAGAAACGTTGTTGGAATCAGCAGCCAGATTACAGGAACAGTTAGATTGTGTACTTAGCTGCTTTAAGCTCGTAAAAGCTTCATTATAAGTTGATGAAAAAGTCACATTTGTATACTACGTTTTTCCAGCTTTTGATCAGTGATAAGCACTTGGTATTAAGTTTAACACATTTTATATGAAATGATTTCTTGCAAACACCACAAGCAATATCGGTATCAGCCGTGCATTGAGTATTGCACTTAGCGCAGTTAAACATTGTAATTAGCGATGAACTTAATAGATCGCGAGAGCAAATTAAAAACACGTCTGCACGACTGCAATGCTAAACACGCATTTTTTTAATTTTTGACATTACTTTTACATTTAAGTTTACGTTTTTGTTTAATTAACGATTGTCTATATTTTTTTTTTACTTTTTCATATCGAGCCCTAACCGCCAAAATAACGTAAGCGACATTTTTTTCAAAATTTTTGTTTTGATGCAGAAATGCTTCTAGATGCTCTAGGAATATTTCTGCATCAAAAAAAATAAATTTAAAAAAATGTCGCTTACGTTATTTTGGCGGTTGCCAATGTTTTGTCAAATAACTGCCAATCGGAAAAAATTAAGTGTATGTTGATTCTAAATTTTCAGTAGCAAATTAACAGTAAAAAAATTCGAAACAATCTTTAATTAAGAAAAACACCTTAACTTTAATAGCGGTGTTCATACCATAATTCAACATTTTTTTTTTGTTATCTTTCGTTAATTACTCCACAAAATGAGTGTGGTTTCCTGGAGCTTTATTACTGCTTGGCACCACAATAAACAAAATGTGTAAAAAAAGCGTGGTAATGAATTACTCTCTTGTACATACATTTACCATTTCTTTGTAGCTATTCGTTTAATATTATTTTTTTTTACTTTTCAGAAAGAAGTTAATTTTGCAATTCGTTTAGATAGATTGGGGCTATTGCTATTATTATTGATTTGTATTAGAGTTTTTCCCTACGATGTTACATCGATGTTTTTCTTTGATTTGATGCATCGAAATGTATATCGATATTTTTCGATGCATCGAAGAGCATACATCGATACATCGATTTGCATAGGATTTTTCGGATAAAGTTTTACAACAAAATATGTTATTAACAAAAATGTACAAAATTTGAAATAAATTACTGTAACTGAGCTAATTTGTTTCTAACGGAACATCGATACATCGACTATTTATACACCGAGTGGAAAATTTTCGATGCATCGAAGCAAAACATCGACATTTTCGATGTATCGATGTTTTCCGACATCCCTATTTTGTGTTTTTTAATTACATAAGCATATGTATATAATTTTGAGCTGTTTTTTGTCTGTCATTGCAGTTACCAATCATCCGAGAACGTCGTCGCTTTACTGATATAATGGACGAAGAGATAGACGACGAGCGGGTTCGTAGTCGGATAAATATGTACAGTTCCAACGATTCGTTCAGTATTCGCAGACTTCGTACGGAATTAGGTCCCCGACTAGACGAATACACTGAAGCAGAAGCTCTCATTGAAAGTCAAAGAGAAGGATGCCTTCCGTTTTTTAGAGAGAAGCCACAAACGCTTGCACTCATTGAATACCAGCCTGCACACATTCATTGCTTTGCTGTTGGTGATCCAAAGCCATGTATTCAATGGTTTAAAAACGACATGGTTCTCAATGAATCCAACAGAATAAAAATAGTCGCTGACGAGGATGGGAGATCTATTTTACGCTTCGATCCTGCTGTTCATACTGATATAGGAATATATAAGGCAGTTGCTAGAAACTCACTTGGACAAACGGTTTCAAGATGCCGCTTAGTTGTAGCTACGTTGCCCGATGCGCCCGATTCTCCAGAAGTATCTGCTGTAAGTGGAACAGAGATCCTTCTCAGATGGAAACAACCAAAAGATGATGGGCATTCAGCAGTTTTATGCTACTGTTTGCAATATAAAGAATTTAGCTCAGACATTTGGACAACCATTGCAGATAATATTGATCACGAGTTTTATCTTGTGCATGACCTACAGCCCCACACCAAATACCACTTTAGATTATCATCTAGAAATTGTATCGGTTGGAGTGAAATGGGCATCCCGTTGACAGCTGAAACAACATCCTTAGATTCACCCAAAATACATATATCAAAGGCAATGGAACATTTGCAGAAGCTAACAGAAAGTGGTCAAGAAATCGTACCAGAAGAGGAGCGTGTCCATACAGATTACCACTGTGAATGCGAACCACCGAATTGGATCACTGATTCTAGCGTAAACGAAAAGTATAGTTTTATTTCAGAAATACATAGAGGACAATTCAGCACAATAGTAAAAGGCGTTCAAAAATCCACCAATGCAATAATCGTTGCAAAAATTTTTGATTTGAATGAGGAAACTGAAGCTTCAGTAATAGAAGAATTTGAGAATTTCAGAACATTAAGGCATGAGCGAATTGTAGCACTATTCGCAGCATATAAGCCAATCAACGTACCATTAGCAATATTTGTGATGGAAAAACTACAGGGTGCAGACGTGTTAACCTACTTTAGTAGTCGTCACCAGTATACGGAACATATGGTGGCTACAGTAATAACTCAACTTTTGGACGCCCTTCAATATCTACATTGGAGAAGTTACTGTCACCTAAATATTCAACCTGACAATATTGTTATGGCTTCTGTGCGTTCAGTACAAATTAAGCTAGTTGACTTTGGATCAGCCAAGCGAGTTAGTAAATTAGGAGCAAAAGTTGCTGCAAGTTGCATGCTTGACTTCCAATCCCCAGAGATGGTTAATGAAGAACCGATATTTCCACAAAGCGATATCTGGTCTGTTGGAGTGTTGACGTACCTTTTGCTTTCTGGAAAGAGTCCATTCCGAGGCATTGATGAATACGATACAAAGCAGAATATATCGTTTGCGCGGTACAGATTTGAGAATCTTTATAGTGAAGTCACTCCTGAGGCAACCCGTTTCATCATGTTTTTATTTAAACGCCATCCAACGTAAGTAGTTTAAACAAATTTTTTCTATTGCTAGTAAAAAATCATAACTCAAAAATGCGAGAAAAAATTTGTTAGATTTTAGAATTAAGATACTAAGATTCCGAGCACAATTAATACATATAGTTTTTTTTAAATAATGGGCCGTATGAATAAAAATAAGCAACTGCTTTTTCTTAAAATTTCAGATCTTTTACTCAATTTATTCAAACAAAATTGAAGTAAAAGGTATGAAATTTTAAGAAAAAGCAATTGCTTAGTTTTTATTCATACGGCCCAATAAAAAGTTGGAGCCATTTCTGCGTGCTTAGCTATTTTATATATATTTTATTATGGCGTCCTTCCAGTAAACGAGCTATGCGTGCGTTTTCTGAAAAAATGCGATCAATAAGTTTTTGTGGGTATTTGCTACGGACTAAAGAAGCAGTGACAGTGCGTGAGAGAAAATTTTACATAACTAGAGTTCATTCTTTAAGGCAAAACTGTGTGCGTTTGAGCGAAAAGGCGGAAATGCGAAATATTCGACAGGTTTTTTTACAAAAAACATATGGCACCATTTCGCACTTTTAGTTTCGCATACACACACAGCCGAAGATCAGACTTAAATGCAAAGTACGAGATTTTATGTCAATCAGCAGACTGAGCTGATCATTAATTCAACTGAAAACGGCTGTGCAAGAGAAGAAAATAAAATAAATAAAATTTTACTTTTTTAACTTTGTTTCGGCATTGCATATTTTCATTTAATTTTCGTAAGTTTAACCTTTCGCACTGACAATATTAATTAACACCGTTCACGCTTTTGTGCAAAACAAAGCGCTAATTTTTGCCTTTCGCATCAAAGAATGAACTCTAGTATACTCATGCGTGAGCGTGAGTAGGTCGAATCACACAATCACGCATTGTCACTCATATTAACAAATTTGTATCAATTAATAGAAATTTAACTCGCATACTAGAATTATTACTTTACCCGTATTTAAAGTGTAAATCAAAACAAATGGCAGATGTTATTTGCACAGAGCTTATTTACTGAAGCCGCATTGTAAATATTGTGATTTAAAAGCAGTTAAAAGCAATGAATGAAATTAAAAAAAGGAATCAAATTTTTAAGTGTCCAAAAGAGTTAATAAGAAGGAGGGATGTGCGCTTTTTTTTATGTGATAACACTGTACGGCAAAATCAACTTTTTTTCTGGGTATTGGACCAAACCAATTTTTTTAAGAGATTGAGTCATAGGTAAAAAAGTGATTTCTCCGTTTTACGAAGTTAGCCTCCGAAATCGAGATATGGGCCTTTGAAGTTCAAAATAGGACCTTTGGTAAAAAATTATATTTAATTATTGCATTTAAATAACTAAAAACCAAAAAATATAGACGTAGTCCCCCTTCTGCTCTTATTTAAATGTATATAACTGCAGACTTATATTACAGGTGCTATAAGGGTCGAATTTATATCGTCGTAAAGGTGATTAAACCCCTATCTTTCGATATGCATATTTGTATACTTCGTATATAAAAATTTTAGAAAAAAAAACACATTTAAATGAAAAAATAGCTTTATTTTTATAAACAAAATA